GTATGTTTAATACTATAAGTCTATGTTATAAGACTGTGAGATGACTAATGGATTTGCTGTGCATTCAGTCGGAAAGGGAACAATTGCAGCAAAGAGTGATTGGTTTGGAGAGCGATCTCGAGAGCGCCGCAGAGGCAGGCCTTGAAGCCAATCGTCTATTGAATGACTTCTTGACGTCTCAGAAGGAAAACGTGAGCTTGAATTCAAGCGTCGATGCATTGCAACAACAGATCACTCGACAGACAGATATTGTTTCCAAATATGAATCCAAAGCTAAACAGAAAGAGACGGAAGTAATTGTTATTAGTTATCAATTAGTTATTTGTCTCACAATTATTAATATAATTTGCATTTTATTGAATAGAATAAAGAGCTTAAAGAAAGAACCGATAAAATGAGCGCCGAATTGGAGAGACTTAAGAATGTTTTGAAAGAAACATCACTTAATTTAGAGACCTTTCAGAAGAATAACGATGAGTTAAAGGCGTCGAAAAGTGAACTCAGTTTGCGTTTTACTGAATTAGAAGAACGATATTCTAGTCTTCAGCTCAAAGCCGATGATTATATGGAAAGAAATGACGAACTCTTGAATGACTTTCAGAAATTAAGCCAAGAGTTGGAAGAACTCAAAGAAGAGAAGAATCACAAGGACTTAGAAATTGAGTCTTTTAAAGAGATTTTGTCAAAACTGAGACGACATCCCAAAAAAGACAGCGAAACCAACGACGAGGACAATGACAACGAAGAGGACGGCGAAGAGCGCAGCGAAGACGGCGACCAAATGGATAGCGCGATGCATGACAAGGCTTTGTCCGATTTGTACGATATCGTCGAAATGGATCTAAAGCTTAAGAACGTGACGATTGACAAAAACGAGTTGAGCCTAAAGCTGGAGGAAGTGTCCAAACGTTGCGAAGAACTTAACCATAAATTAGAGTCTTTAGAGGAGGAGAACCGATCGATTAAGACTGAGAGCGAGGGCGCCCTTAAGGACAGACTTAAGGCTCAAATGGAATTAGAAGTACTGACCAAATACTATAAGGAAAAGGAGGTCGAGTTGGGCAAAGAGATTGGCGTTCAGCACATCCAACGACAACAGAAGGAGGAGGACGT